TTCTCTCGCTGTTCGCAGTGTTCATCCAACTTGACGTTTCTCTTTGTGGAACATTCTACGTCATTCCTCGAACATTCTGCCTATTTCTCGTTGTTCGCTTTGTGTTGCCGCAGTATTCGCCACAATACAGTCGCTAGCTGCGTTTCAGTGATCGCCGATCGAGATTTCATTTATTATTTTACATTATTTGGATAAAGAAAAGTTACGCAAATTAAACATCGATATGATGCTGATAGAAATCTGGATTAATTTGTGTAATCAGACATGCACCGTGTTGCTCCTATTAAGTGTGGAAATTATAATTGACAGCACCGACAAATGAATATATACACAAACAAATGTTTGGTTATGGTTAAAACAATTCAAGTTTTTGTATTGAATTTTCGGTTTAGAATTTATTTTTCTTTTCAGTAGGGATTTTTGGCATTATCTTTTCCGTGAGAATTTATCGTAATAGATACGGATCTGAATAAGCGACTGGAACACGGCTGTTTGTCAAAAGCATACGATTTCGAACTCGCGTAAATGTACATTTGCTAAATGCGATAGCATGAACGCTCTTCGAAAACATATGTTCGAAAGTGCTAAATGTTGCATTTTAAATGCAGCAAAAACGCTGCATAAGACAAATCGTGTCAGCTGACTCGGGTTTACGTATCGGTAGGTTTACGTTCTTGACTAATTTCAGCTTAAGAGTAAGCACCAGTAACTCAGCACAGTGCTGAGTTACACACCTCTATACCCGTGAACCAAGAATACATTAGCGGCGTAAAAACTCTGGCATATCTGATTCAAATTCCTGGCAGGCATGCTGAGTTAATTTGTATTAGGTAGCACAAATTCAAATACGATTTCTACCCCTGACGGAGCACTTATCCGCATTTACTAGTTGCCAGCTGATTTGATACAAATTTTGAACTCAAAATGGAAAGGAGGGAAAAAATACGAATGGCAGCTGTTTTATTGGCAAAACACAATTTCTTATTTAAAAAGAAACTTCACATTCTTCTATTAAAATTATTAAATAATATGAAAGTAATTAATGGATTGGCCAGTATGAACCTTAACTTGCTGTGCCAAGCTGTGATTGTTACACCTCCTGATATCAGAGAAAGGCAGCTGTCGAAATTGGTAAGCATACCTTTCATTTTCATTGTATAATAAATATCCGGTATTCCTTTAAGGAACGCAATGGAACTTTTTGGGAGCGTGATGTGCCTTTAATGGACGAAAGTCGTTTCAAAGAAAATTTTCGAGTCAATAGAAATACGTTTCGAAGAATTTGTGAGAAAGTTAAAGACATTGAAAAGGTGGACAGTAATATGAAGCCATGTATTCCACTTCATAAAAGAGTAGCTGTCTCACTATTCGCATTGGGATCAGCTGCGGAGTATAGGACTGTTGCAAGTCTCTTCGGTGTGGGACGCAGTACTGTTGGGGAAATTCTTTTGGATTTTTGCCAAGCAGTATGTGAAAATCTTTCTGCTTCCATTAATTCCTATCCTCCTAATCCACAAGAGATAAGAAAAATTGTTGATGGATTCGAACGCCTAGGATTCCCGCAGTGTTTTGGAGCTGTGGATGGCTGCCATATAGAAATTCAACCACCAAAAAAGAGTGCAGTAGACTACCAAAACTGCAAGGGTTGGTACTCGGTGATCTTGTTAGCGAGCTGTGACCACCGGTATATTGAAATTTGCTTTAAGCTTATTTACAAAAAAAAAAAAATTATGAAACGTCTCAATCTTCTCCAGATCAAAATTTACCTACATAAACATTGGTTCACCTGGTAAAAACAACGACTCTGATGTTTTCGAAAATAGTGCATTAAAAAGATATCACGAAACTGCGGATATTTTTAACCAGAATAGCAAACGCATATGTGGAGTCAATGTACCCGTTTTCCTTATAGGCGATTCGGCTTTTGGGCTCTCGCGGTATATGATGAAACCATTTCCATATTCAGCGAATCAGTCTTATATAGAAAAAAATTTTAACTACGAACTATCTAGATGCCGTCGCCCTATTGAAAAAGCATTCGAGCAACTTAAAGCTCGATTCAGAAAAATAGGTCGACGCTTGCAGGTCGCACCAAAAAACGTAAATATCATAATTAGAACGTGTTGTATATTGCACAATTTTTTAAAATTGGAAAACGACGAGGTCTATACCGCTTGGAGGCAAGATGCCAGAGAAGACTTAAATGCCAGAAGTCAGCCATGTCATACTACAAGAGTTGGCGAAAATGATGTGAACGCATCCGCTATTAGAAATGCAATAGCCGAGAGTTTTCGTAAGAACCAATATAAAAATCCTGTAAATATTGAACCCGAATCCATTTTCGAAAAAAATCAAAATATGATTTTATATACATTCAATTGCTTTTTTTTATTAACTCATTAATAGCTATAAAATTAAAATCAGAGAGTTTCTGCAATTCACTTCCGAGTGAATTTCAACCCCATTAAATTTGAGTTCAATGTGAACTTTGTTAAAATTAAATCGGAAATTTGCAGAACCTGCCTGAATAATTCAGTCTTCCCTTCTTTTTCAACAAAACTGATTCCAACTATCCACATTTCCTTTTCACATTTTGTCTATTAAATTTCTCATCAAGCCTAAAAATTCTTTTGAGGTATCATTCTGCTCTCTTATGGCAGCAACAACCTCGTTTGTCAACACCTTCGTATCTTCCATCACACTCCTCAATATTTCTGTATTTTCATGCATAATTCTTATAATTTCTTCCGAAATATTCCTTCTTCCAGGGGAAGTGGATGGTGATGTATCAGGAAGCGAGAGAGGTGGTGATGGTGGCGGCAGTGGCACTAGCAAGGGTGACGATGTTGACGGAGCTGGTGGTGATGATGAGCGTACTGATGGGGTTGCTGATGCCAGCGACTGAGAGTCTGCGTTTAATAGGCTGTCCTAAAAAATTAGTTTATGGAAATATTTTAATAAACACAAAATACACTTGACATGAAAAAACAAACCATTGAAAATGATCCACAGACTTCCGCATTATTAACTGCTGTTCCTTCAATTATTCGTTCTATCGCCATAAAATGCTTCCATGTCGATGGGCTTCCTGCCGACGCACCCCCTTTCTTTTCATTTCTGCAAATTTATCAAGCAAATGAGTTGTGCAAGTTATTTATTTATTATAATTTACCTATATCTTTGTGTTAAATTCCTGATTTTTACGTGTATGTCCTGCGCAGTGAATTTTCTATTCATTTCCCGAGAAATTCCAGCATAAATATGCCGATTCCTTTTGGCTCGCCGCAAATCAGCAGCCCGTGCTGCCCACAATTTTAGTAAAATTTTATCGTCCAGCTCGCTCCAAACAACTCGCTTCTTTATTAATGACATCTGAAATTGACAAATACAAGTCTTTATTTTGTAATTGTCTAAATTTTACACAAAATAAATAAAAAAGAAACTTTGCTTGTTTTTCCTTATTTTCCTTTTCTGTCAATTTTTGACAGTAGCAAAAGCTACTTTTCCCATTCACAATAGTACTGAACTAGTGATGGCACGATTAAACGAATAACCGATTATAATCGGTTATTTTCATACGCGTAACGATTTAATTGTATCGAAATTTTCCTTTCGATTAATCCAGCGATTAACCGATTAATTTTGATAATAATCGACAAGAAATCATCAAAAACTGGCTACTTTACTCACACAATAATGAATCAAAATTCCGTAACAAAATTGGCATTCTTACCACTCAAAAATATTAGCAATAATATATGTGTCCATTCTACCGGATACATACATATATATGTATACTTTTACTAGTTGGGAGATTTTTTATATTCTCGTATTCTGCAAATTTTTTAAACGATATTTTTGCAAAAAGCGCAACACAAGTTTAACCTAACAACTAAACAAATAAAACAACTAAAAAAACACAACGCAGGTATCCACATATTTGCATTTTATTTTCCAAATGCGGTGTTTCGCGCTTTTTTATATGGAAGAAAATAAGCATCACCGTAAAAAAAAATTGCCAAAAATCAACGGTAAGTGGTACTTCAATTTTGCAATTTTTTATGCAAAAATTTAATGGGCTTACATAATAATAATAATAGATTGGCGCTACACACATGTTAGTGTTTGGCCGAGCTTCTCCTCCGATTTGTGGCGTGCGCCTTGATGTTGTCACACAGTGCGGAGGGACCTACAGTTTTACGCCGACTCCGAACGGCGATTGTAGTTTTATGAGAAGCTGTTTTTCATGGCAGAAATATACTCGGAGGTTTGCCATTGCCTGCCAAGGGACGACCGCTGTTAAGAAAAAACCTTGTTTCTATATTTTTGCGATGTTGCTTTGACCAGGGTTTTAACCCAGGCGTTACGGAGTGGAAGCGCGCACTGCTTACCACTACACCACAGCGGCAGCAATGGGCTTACGCATACTGAAAATCTTTCTAAAAATCAAATTAAAAAGCTCGAATTTTTTGAATACCAAAAATAATTATTGTGATGCGCTTATAATTTTGACACGGGGTGTATAACGGATGGTATACTACTTAACACCTTTTTAATTATTGTTTCCCTCATTTTTTAGTTTTCTTGATTGTTTGCGCACTGAATTCATGGTAAATTTTTATTACTTATTCCATCTTCTGACCGACATCAAAAACATGTTTTCGTTGCTAATACTATGTTCTGACCGACATCGAAAACATGTTTTCGTTGCTAAAACTGGTTTTCGACCTAAAACTTGTGTTGTCGTCAATGTAAAATCTGTCAAACGAAAACAAGTTTTCGCTGAAAACCACTTGAAAACTCACGTTCCACTCATTCCAATCGGTGTCTGCACTAGTTTTTTTCGATTATTTATCGAAGTGGAAGTCATATTTTATCATCTTTAATACGCTATTTCGTACTTATTGTTAATTGGCTGGCAAAAGTAAAATAAGAATGGTAGTAAGAGGTTGCTAATGAAAAGAAAATGTGGGAAAAGCATTTTGATTTTGTTTTTGTGTAGCAAAACTGCAATGCGAGGNGTAATATAAGAAATGTCAACGAAAACACTAACAGCCGGTGTGAACAGCCTTCAGCCCACAATTCCAAAACTCGTTTTCAAAGTGTTTTCGTTGTCGGTCAGAACATGGTATTAGTAAATGGTTTTTATTATTTTCGATTTTAATCGAAACGACCGATTAACCGGTTAATTTCTTACGATTAATTGCAATTATTAATCGAATGCTTTCGATTAATCAGTTAACCGATTAATCGATTATTAAAGTTTTTTTGCCATCACTAGTTACTGAACTGCCAAATGCGGCAGCATTGCCATACTAAAACTCGCAACAACAGTTAAATTATCTTGCATCCCAACAAACATTCAGGTTTAAGTTCAACCAGCTTAAGTTGGGAACTGAGGTATTTTTCAAATCTACAACGTTGTTCAACAGTACCTCAAGTGGAGGATCATAGCGTTCTCAAAAAAAATAGCATTTTTTTTTTGTAAGAAAATATGATTGTTTCTAAAGTTCAGAAAATGCTAGTTTTCAACTCGAACATTACATATCTTATTACATTAAACGAGCAATTCTTGTATATATATATATCCATAGGGGTCTCGTAAACGGCTCTAACGATTTTGATGAAATTTTGGACACAGATAATGTTTTGGATTTTAAGGCTGTGTGCGAGTACGTCTAAATTGCTACCTAAATAGAGAAAAATCCTAAATCACTGGACAGTGTTGGTAACGCAGTGAATAGGAACAATTAGATTTTCTGCGAGCATAATTTTCAACCTAAATTGAATAGTCAAATATATTTGAGCGAGCGATTAAGTGAAAAACGATTTTTTGATGTTTTAAATAATTTTTATCATTGCTATGGCACAAAAAAAAAAAAAATTCAGAAAGATGTAAGTATAAATTTATTTGATTTTTGCATTCAGATAAGTATGTGTGTAATTCGATGGATGTACATATATTATTTCGCAGGGTCAGAAGAGCAAACGGATTCTTTTATAGATGCCAGGATGGAGCATTCTCCTTTTTTGTTGCAAATTTATTATATTGTTAAATAGTCACAAAGCTACCACAAAATTATTCATTTTATAGATATATTTATTAAAAGCAAACAAATTCAAATTCCAAAACAAACAATTTAGGTTGTCAAACGAACTCGCACAGTTTTAGCAGCTGTTTTCCTAAATTGTAGCAGTGCTGGAAATTTCCAGTGGAATGTTAGTTTAGGTACTAAAATTTAGTTAAACTCGCACACAGCCTAAAGTTATCTGCATAGGCAATATCTCCGAGAAGACTCGTATAAGGTTGCCACCTATTCGAAATTAGTTACAAATTAATTAAAACATCATAATATGGGTATCAAACGGAAGGTATTTTAAAGATCCCTAATTCAAAAATATTTTTAATAAGGTTGCCACCTATTTTGAATCGCATATTTATTTAATTTTTTTTTTAGAAAAAAAGGTAAAATATTACTATTCATGGGTACCAAGAGAAGGTTCTTAGACAATGCTTACCCTGTACACAAAATGTTTTGTCTTAGGATAATAGTATAAGGTTGCCACTTATTTTAGATTCTACACACTTTATCTAAAACATCGCAATATGGATATCAAATGAAAGGTATTATTGAGAACTTTGGTCAGAAAATAGTTTCCATCAGGGTTGCCACGCTTCCTTGTAATACAAATTTTTATTTTGTTATTCTCAATCAACATTTGTTATGTATACATAGTACGCGGATGCTCAAGATATGTACCATTCATTCCAGCGTATTTCGGAATAGGGTTGGCACCTAAATTTTAGAGTAAAGAATTTACTTAATATATATGGAAATTCTATTTTTTTTATTTCCAAAATATTTTTTTAAAGCTATCCAAATCTTGGAAGCTTCAAAAAGTATATGCGAACATATAAAAAGGGCAAAATAAAATAACGAAATAGGCCGGAAAATGCATAATAAAATAGCGAAAAAGGCAGGTAAAGGCACTAGGTATTGCAAAAAAAGCAAAATAAGGCACTAAAAAAAGACAGAAAATACGATGAACAATCAAAAAATACATTTATTTTAGAAATGTTTATATTACAAGTAAAAAGAGAAAAACTATGACCTAGTTTCATTATGTGAAAAATTTGTACTTTGAATCTTTGACTATTTTATCCTTTCGAGTTTCTAACTCATAAAACTTTAATCTGTATAGTAACATTGAACCACAAGATGCATTTTGACGTTTTCTGGCAGCATTTTCATTCGAATTTCGCGAAGAAAAGCCTTGAATGTACTAAATGTGCGCTCGACGTAAGTTGATACAAGTGTAGCCCAATTTAAATATGGAACGTTTGAAACGTTCATATTATCAGGAATAAGGGCGTTTTCCTCGCCCTTTACAATTTTATCCACACCCCTTATTGTCTCCAAGCCTACGTTAGCTGAGAAAACGGCTTTGAATTTTCCCAACACCAATTTGGCAAGAGGTCCCTGCGCTTCTATAAGCCGCTTGGGCATGTGTATATTTTTTAATATTTAAAAAAAAATAGTGTAAATGCTATAATCACTTTAAAGGTAGAAAAGGCAAATATCTTAAAAAAGGCAAAAATAGGCAAATATCTTAAAAAAGGGAAAGCTAAATCGTGGACATCCTTAATCGAATATACTCTATCTCTTTAGCAGAAAAAAAGGCCATTTCCATAAAATCCGTTCCCTGTATATTACATTGTTTCGGTAACGTCGGCAACGATGTTTAACTGCGGATTAGTGTTAACCAGATTTGGTGAAAACGGCACTTGATCGATAAAGCAGTCGTTATATTTAACCGGAGCTTCTACCTCCGATTAGTGCTAATCAGACATTGAAGAACCGGCCCTAATAGCCCAGTTATGCAACCTTCCACTGCTAGGGCCATTTTCACCATCACTGGTTAACA